AGAGCGAATGGGGGGTTAAGCACATGCACCTTGTGCCTTATAGATACAAGGGAACTTTTATATACAATGTAACAGGTTCTCTTAAAAGCTCTGCTCACACAGGCAGGAATTTCCACCTGGTCATGAAGGGGTTAATTGGCCGTTGCAGATGTGGAGTTTCCTCGCCGTCGGGGGGGGGTTGGATTCGCATTCTCGGGGCCGTTAGGAGCGGTAGGGGGGGGCTCGGCGCTTTTTTTTATTGCGCACGTCCCCTTCTCCGCCGCCTTTTGTGCTCCTCAAATCCTTTCTCCGGCTGTTTTCATACTTCTGGCCCCGTGTTGTTTTAAGATGACAGCGTCTGATGGAGGGAACGTTCCTCGGCCTCCGGATCGAGTTTCTCCATTAAATGATTCCTAATCCCAGAAACGTTCTCAGGTTCCAGGTAACGAGGAGCTTTCATCGCGTCCGGGGTTCACACACGCTCCCCGGGCTGTTAACCCCTCACCCGCCGGGCGCGTCTGCGTGCCAACTCTGCGCTTGGCCTCGGAGGATACTGAACCTCCCTCGCAGGTTTTACCGCCGCTTGTAGATCCTCCAACGAGAAGAAGTGACTTATGTCGGCTTTCAGTCAATCATTCTGAACGCTGAACTCCGGGCAGACAGAGAAGACACAGCTTTGTATTCATTACATCTGAACTCCCCTTCAGTCTTCTATCTGACCTCCGTCCTCCCCTTCAGTCTTCTATCTGACCTCCGTCCTTCCCTTCAGTCTTGCACAGTTGTACCGGCTCCTCCCCTCTTCCTCTGATGTCACTGCACACTGGGAGCTTCTCACAATGCGCATTAGAAGCTGCAGCAAGTCAGATAGAGCCCGCCCCCTTTCCCGGCTGGAGAATGTCCAGCATCATCTGGCACTTTCCTCCCTAGCATGACTGTCCCTGGCCCCGCCCTTTCTTTCATTGGATTTCAGGTCTTTCAATCATGGAGCATCACATGTGGGTGTTAATTAGGATGTTCTATATGTAAATACAGCCTGCCTTGGAAGGCCCACATCAAGGCATTTTGATATTTGCATAACTCCTCCCAAGAGCCGGCCCACTGCTTGCCTCAGGGCTGAGGGCTCTTGAGAGAAGTCCCGAAGCACAGTGTTGTGATGGTCTCAGGTAGAGCTGCAGCTAACGATTATTTTCATAATCGATTAGTTAGTCGATTATTAAGTTCGATTAATCGATTAATCGGATTTAAAACAAAATCTCCAGTGATGGACTACTAGTTTGTATTGAGATTGTAGTCCATCACGGGAGCAAGCTTGGAGCGGTGGAAGTAAAAAAAAAAAGTGTGGTGTGCAATATAGTACATTATAAAGCGGCACAGTGCAGAATACCAGCAGCTATAGAGGAATGCAGCAATAGTACATTATACTATAATGTATTATTGCTGGGATCTGATGTATTCCTCTATAGCTGG